TTGTCATCAGAGGATCTTGTGGCCTCCATGTCACTAAGGATGGCTGTGGTGCCTTTTAGGACAGCTCTGATATTTGTTGTGAGTGTGGCTTTTCAGCTCCAGCATAGAACCCTCATCCCACCAGCCCAGCTCCTTCACCCCGCTGGCATGGACTTTCTGGCTTCCACCGCTGACCATTGGGCCTTTCTGGCACGGATCCATAAAAGAGACTGGCCTGAGTTCTTCTTGTGGGCTCTGGACCTCCAGTTGGACTCATGGGAGGCGTTGCCATGAGCTCTGGATTTTTATCTGGACTCATGTGGGACATTGCTGTGGGATTCAGGCCCTTGACTAAATATTCTATGTCTTTGGTGTTGTGGATAGATTTCCTGCATTTTTTTGTGTTAACTCCCAGTGACCATTATAAAAATAATATTATAAACTCCATGTCCTGATTCTAACTGTTCTCTGCACAACCCCTGACTACAACAGATTCACGTCTCATAAGCATTTGTTAGAGGCAGAGGTCTGAATCTGAAACAACAGTTTGTCACCATAAACAATCTGTTTTTACATTTTTGAAGGCTTGTATATCTGGAGGCATGAATATATGAATACACCATGAGGTTAACAACAATCCTTTGTCATAACCATGTGAAACCTTTGTATCAGGATCTTTAAATCAAAACCCTTATTGAATTATTTCTTTTGATAATGACAAATGTGAACTTATAATAATAATATAATTTATAGCTTTAGCTGAGGTATCTCCCATAGGCTATGGAGATCACTGGGGATTCCAATCAATGAACAAGAACTGGTTAAAAATGTTGCCAGACAGCTGTTTTCTTATTTATCAATTTAAGTCCTGTCTAACAATCCCAACTCCAAAGGACTTTTAATTATCTTAATATAATTTTTGAAGACTTATGAAAAACCCAACTACAACATTTAACTATTCAATTTTTTAAAAAATGAAAAACTCTCAAGTTAACAGCAAACAACAACATACACTACATTTACATAACCAATGTTTGCATCATTTGGACCAGCTGGCAACCCAGGTGGCATTTGGACCTGGTGGAAACATGTTTTATAATTTTATAACTCAAATAAACCTTGATTAAATGATCTATAAATGCAAAAGAAAAAGGAAAATTGCTGAGCTCAAAATAAAGAAAAACAGCTGTTCACAAGCAGACAAACAGACAAATGGACAAACATGGACAGACGATCTGTACAGATTCAAATAGACATAAACCGATGCAGAATTGTCAGTGTCTATAAGAACTCTCTAAGTTCCTGGGGGCTATTTCACACCTCTTTGTTGAACTAGCTGGCTTCTTACACCAGCTGTGTCCTTGGGGTTGAAATATTTGTTACCTCCAGCACACCATACACTCAGGGCATTTTTAGGCACCCTGTGCCCCTTAGGCACTCCTGTATGGGCATTGTGCTATTGGCTCGACCAGTGTGAGCCATCACTAGCTCAGAGACTTTTAACAACAGCTTAACAAACTGGACAAACAGACAAACAGGAACACAGATTTATAAACATCTTTCACAATCAGCGTACACTCAAATATACTTTAGTCAAATTGAATTACACAAATTGTTTTACAGTTGTAGAATTTTTAATTTTAAATAGACCAATCACATTTGATGTAGGTCAGTTAGCAGAGATCTCTTATCAAAAAATTTGAAAAAGACAACATCTTTGTGATAGGACTTAGCATGCACTTCTATCACTTATGTGGACCCTTTTTTATTTTATTTTTTTGTTACCATCTCCTGGGCATCTTGGGTTAATTAAGGTTCGTTCTAGCTTCATCCTTTTTTATGGGATATGACATGGTCTCCAAGGCATCACTGTCATAAGACTGAGCATCTGCTTCTTGAAAGTGAAAGGGTTAACTCCCTAACTCCCCAGAGCTATCAGAACCGAGCAAAAAAAAAAAAAAAATGCACCTGCAAGGTTGTTCTGTCTCAACAAGATAAGTAAGACAAGTAACTGTTCTGTTCTGGGCACATAGTGACTGGGCTAGGACCCCCAGTCTCCATGGTTACTCAACCCCAAACCCCTCCAATCAACTTCTGCCAAGTCCTATGCTGCTCAAAATTAACCAATGCAATCTGCTTCTGTAAACTTGCTTGCCTCCCGCTTGCGCCCTTAAAAACCGTACACAATTCCCCCTCGGGGCCCTCCGCACTTGTTTGCCTGGGGGACCCCATGCGCATGGAAATAAACTTTTTACTCCTCACTACAAGCTGAGTCCTTGGGGTCTTCTTCCCTGCGACACAGGTCCTTACAAAAGGTAGCATCAACTCCTTTCCTGGGTTTGGGTCCATGATATAGCTGGACAGCACACACTGACACCCAGATAGGTAATTTAGCTTTTCCTGGAAAAACATAGGCATACCCTCAATCCCACGTTAGCACTGGACTGGGTCCTTTTATTGTCCAGTATGAAGATCTTTCCAATGGACTCCTTTTAGATTCGATTTATTTGATTACATTATCTACCTGCTGAGGTAGTTATGTGAGAGTTGACCCCCCTGCTCTAACCCCCTCCCCGAGTTATAAAAAGCAGCAAAGAATGTTTCACTCCCTAACTCCCCAGAGCGGGGGAATAAAAGGGTTAACTCCCTAACTCCCCAGAGCTATCAGAGCAGAGCAGAAAGAAATGCCTAACTCCCCAGAGCTATCAGAGCAGAGAAAAAAAAAGAAAGAATGCACCTGCAAGGTTGTTCTGTCTCAACGAGATAAGTAAGACAAGTAACTGTTCTGTTCTGGGCACATAGTGACTGGGCTAGGACCCCCAGTCTCCATGGTTACTCAACCCCAAACCCCTCCAATCAATTTCTGCCAAATCCTATGCTGCTCAAAATTAACCAATGCAATCTGCTTCTGTAAATTCGCTTGCCTCCCTGCGCCCTTAAAAACCCTACACAATTCCCCCTCGAGGCCCCTCCGCACTTGTTTGCCTGGGGGACCCCATGCGCATGGAAATAAACTTTTTTCCCTCACCAAGAGTTGAGTCCTTGGGGTCTCTTTCCCTGCGGCGTCGGCCCTAACAGTTACATCTTTATTAGAATTTAAATATTGTAAGTGGTATACACTGCCAAGTGAAATCTATTATGAGGTGAACTCTCCCTTTTGTGTTTTGAAATTTAAATTGTGAGCACATTTAGCTTACTTTTAGATCTGAGGATTATAAAGACTTTTTGTGGTAAGGTATAGAGAAAACGGAAACTGCATTTTATATTTAGGTATCTTGGGCTCTCCTGTGACATGCAGGTGGTGCTCCTGCTCTGTGCTGGAGGCCCCACTGTTGCTGGGGATCTGAGCATCAGTGCAGTGTAAATTTTTTAATTCATAAAGCATGTGCCCAGGTGATAGGAAAAACCAGGTGGCTTGGGCAGGCCAGAGCCATGTCTCACCTCTCTAATTAGTCTCAGAAGATCCAAAATCCTTGGGTACCCTTTCTTTATTTATAAATTTTCCTATTTTTGTCAAGGGGAGAATAACTAACAGCAATACAATAATCTAGGGAGCTTTGAACTGTGTTTTGAGGAGGTTGAACCATAACCTTGATTTCTCCTTGCAGCTGAAACAGGCAACATTGTTTCTTTACCTTCCTTGTCTGGGCCAAACTCCAGGCTCAGAGGAGGCTTAGGTGACCTCCCCTGCCTGGGCCCTGTGAGAAGTAGTGACAGGAAGAGAAAGCATCAGTTGCTATTAAATAACCCTTTCAAATCTGTAGAGGGCCAGCTGATTTGTGTTGGGGGTTTTTTTCCTAGTTTTGCTCTAAGCTGTTTTTCAGTTTTCTCCCAAGTAGGTAAATGTATAATTTCTTCTTCTGGAGACAAATTCAAGAAATTTAGCAAGCTGTGTAGTGTCAGTGTTTTGACAACTAAAATTGACTTCAAAAAGCAGAAGGGACCTAAATAAATGTAGAGCTACATTAATTGATAATTTGAAACAAGTACCTCTGTAGTAAGTAATTTTGAAAAAACAATGGAGTTTGAGAATTTATGTTACCAGGTATCAAGACCCACCACAAAGCCATGAGGCGGTGATATGCTGGGGCCAGCCTGTTATCAGCTGGTGAAAGCCAAACGTTGAATTTTTAGAAGCTTTAAAGGTTAGTTATTGTCGTATTGCTTATTTGAAATTGTCTTTTGTAAGACCACTTTGTAAACAGGAATCAACAAACCGCCAATCAGGACCACATTACCCCACAACCACTAGGAGCCTGCCAGGCCGAGCAGGGTCAAGTCATCTCAGGGAGCCGCCACACCCCTGCTCTTTGGCAGGGCTGCTACAGGCCCTGCTGAAAGTTTTTCTCTTGTAACTATTTTGAATTTATAGGGAGTGGTCCAATGATATCGTTGACTACACTTTGGACAGATTGTTGAAGGTTTTTCTGGACAATTACTGGCTCGTTAAAGTTATGGGATGGCTGGCAGTCATGCTGCCAACCTTTTCTTGTTTGGGATTCTGAAACAGTGCCTGGAGCCAGTTCCCTTGTAATTGTCTCAAGAAGCTTATGATTATTAAGACCCTGTCTAATCCAGATCCAAGCATACAAGAAAGTTTTTTATACATTTGTAGTTCTTTTGAATAATTTTTATCCCATAGTTAGACAGCTGATATAATCGATAGACCTCTTTGTTTTTCTTTTTAGGGGAAGGGGTTAGGGTTAGGGTTAGCCCCATATGCTGTGACCCAATGTGGCTCCTGAGGTTCTTGGGGTCAAGGACCTCAAGAGGATGAGAAAAATAAAGAAAAGACAAAGCTGGGGTCAGGTGGAGCCCTTATTCTCCTGATGGGAGGAAAGGAACTGCTCAACCAGTGTGGCACCTTTATTTATCTAGTGGGAAAGATGATGTCAATTTCAGCCCCTCCCTAACAACCCACTGCCAGCAGGCCTGGGCCTCTGCCTTCTTGGTGCTGGAACAACTTGTTTACTACCTTGTTTTGATCTCTCTGCTTTTTCTGGGCTGGACTTGCTTTAACCCCACACATGTGATCAATCTCCAGCTTTGATGGCTCCCTACAGGACTGAAACCTCTACAAACTGTGAGTTAAATAATTCTTCCCTTAACTTGTGTGCTGTGTATTTGTCTCAGCAATGAGAAAACTAACTGCGTATGTAAGTAAAAGCGAGTTCATCTTTTCCTACTGCTGTGGACACAGGGAGTGAACTCTTTCAGAACCGTCAGAACACACAATTAAGTTGAAGTTAGCACTCTAGATGCTTCTTCTCTGTCACATTCTGTCAATTTCTGTTGCTTTCTGGCTACTAATTGTGCATAAGGAAGAAGCAGAGTGTGTGTCTGCCGGTTTCGGTGACCCGTGCCCATTGATGTCCATGCTAGTGTACATTTGTATACAATGCTCATTTAAAGTTTCAGTTCCACCATGTTTGCAGCACTCTTAGTTAATTCTTTTTCACTGGGACTTATTACCCAACACTACAGATTAAAGGAGGAAAGGCTTATTTTAGCTCTCATTTTGTAGAGGTTTCAGTCCATAGTTGGCTAGCTCCAAGGCCAGGTGGCATGGCAGAGGGGCACTACACATGGGAGACAGTTGGCAGCATGCAGAGAAGGCAGGAGGCAGCCACCAGTGAGCCACTGGCTGCCCAATTCCTGCCCTTGTATATTCCACACTGGCTGCAAGCTCACAGAGTGGTGCCACCCACATCCAGGGTAGGACACCCAGGATCCAAGCATCATATACTTTAGATCCAGCCACTTCTGAGAAATGACACCTATTATTGTATGAGGCTTTGGAGGTACACCTAGACACAAGCCATAACATTCTGCCCCATCCCCAAAACCTTTATGCACAGTTCCTTATGCAAAAGCCATTTAGTCCATCTCTAAAAGTTGACTAAGAAAGTTAAAACACTTACAACACATAGTGGTACACGATAAGCATTCCCATTCCAGAAGGCAGAAATAGAGACAGAAAACAACAGGACCAATGCAAATCCAAAAAGCCAACAGGGAAAGCATTAAGTCCTGTAGGTCATGTCCAGCATATAGGATAATCTGTGGCAACTGTGAGCCCCAGAGGGCTTGGCTGTCTCTGCTCTTGGCACACAGCTGACGGGTGTGACCCCCACAGGTTCTCCCTTGGGCCAGCTTTTCGCCTTCCTTGTGTATTCCCTCAGACCACCTATGTTCCTTGCTTCCTCAACCTTCTGAGTTCTCCACTGCACCTTCATCTTCCCATGGACAGCATCATGAACTGCCCTCTCGGGAGCACACTAGCTTTCTGTTGCAACCTGGGTGGAAGGCATCCTGACCCCACAACTCTTCCATTATTCAGTACCTAAAATCAGCACCAATGGGATGACACCAGGGTTTGCTGCCAGCTGGAGTGACAGCCATGCTTTGTTCCCTGAATTTACAGCTTCTATCTAGACATCCCTCCAAGACCTCCTGCGATCATAGGTGGTCATAAGAAACCTTTCTTCCTTTAGCTTGTGGTGTTGGGTATTTTGTCTCAGCAATAAGGAAAGTAAATAACACCCTTGAATATCTATCTCCAGGCTTCCTGTTTACACTCGTCAGGCTTCCAGAGAAGACCCTTTAGCTCCCTGATACAAATTAACAAAGGGCTGTGATGTGAGCATCTTTGTATTGGCTTAACTAATGATATTTGGTAACAATTTAGTGTGACATTGTTTCTTGGTCATAGTTTTTCAACTTTGGTTATTGGGAGCTATCTTAGTTGCTTTCTCATTGCTGGAACAAAATGTCTTCAAAGAAGAACAACTTAAAAAAAAAGTTTCTTTTAGCTCACAGTTTGTAGCTCCTAATCTTCTGGCTCCAAAGCAGCACAGCATGGCAGAGGGAGAGAAACAGTTCATGGCAGGGCAGACAAAAAGCAGCCAAGTATCTTTCTTTCCCTTGTATTTTACTTGGGTTGGCACCACCCACACCGAGGTTGTGCCTGCCTACTCATCACCTACAACGCTGTCAATTCAATGGTGGACTAAGCCGGCTCTCACACCGCCGTGACCCAGCACCAGCCATGAGTGCACCAGGCTGTGGGGGGCCTCCAGACAGAAGCCAGGACAGGAGCTCTTTCAGTGGGCTCTTGCATCTCTATGATGGAACCCTACCACTTTTTTTAGAAATAATGTTCTTTTTTGATTGCCTCGTGCCCTGAGTTCATCCAGTTGGCATCCTTCCTTAACCCTTTTATTTCCATTCTACTTTATTACATTTGAAGCCAGAAGCCAGTTTCTTGTAGACAGCTCTGTGGTCTATGAGACCTTGGTGGACTCAGGTTCCCGAGATCGTAGGGTATGTCTTCCTCTGATTTGTGAAGTTTCCAGTCATTATTTAGTCAAGTATTTTTTTTTAGCCCTACATTCTTTTTCTTCTCTTAGGTATGAGACCAGCTGTGACTGTCCCTATAAGTCCCAAAGATTTTTCGCTTAAGCAGTTTTTTTAATCTTATGAATATTTTGTGGAGACAGGACTTGCTATATAGTACAGACCACCCTTGAGCTCGCTGTGTAGCCCAGGCTGATCCTCCTGCCTCAGAGGATCACTTATTTTATTGTTGTGGTGAAAAAAAATATAGGAATTTTATCATCTTAATTATTATCAAATGTAGCATTCAGTTGTACTAAGAGCATTTACATTCTTAGCTGAACGTGGTGGCACATTCCTATAACTCCACCACTGGGGAGTCTGAGGTGGGAGGTGACCGGCGCAGCCCCCCAATGAGACAGAGGACACTCTTGTGGGTAACAGGTAACTGCCGCTTTATTGTTGTGGGTTCTGGCTTATATATCTGACTGTGGCCAATCAGGCTGCCACGAGGAGGAAGGGCTGGAATGAGACTCGGGCTCTGGCCAATATACCCAGCTGTGGTCAATCAGGGGTTGCCACAGAGTCAGCATGGGGCAAATACGAAGTGAGCATGGGGTGGCTAATTGAAGAGGGACGTAGCGCATTGCGGAAGCTGGCGTAGTCCATAGTCCTGGGTTGGATATGGTATGTTGAGCGCCTGTGCCCAACATCTCCCCCTTTCTTTATAACTGACACAGGGTCTCCAGGGGTCGGCACCCCTTGTGAGGTGCCATGCAGCCTTCATGACAGTACCTTACTACCCATTGGTGCTCTTTTGGAGGGGGCGGGAAATCTGTTTTATGAGCCCAACCCGCATGCTCGCCGACATGGAGACCGGGTGTCTCCTGGCCAAGGACGACACTCCCTGCGATGCTTTGCTCCACACCTGCGTCACAGCATGGCGAGCCATGCTGCTGGGCTTTGACCAGATTCTATGGCCAGCAATGCTTGTTTGATAATTACTTTGTCCCTATTCCTTTGTCTGCGAATCCGACAGAGCAGAAGTAGACTGCCGAATGCGGCAAGTGTAGCCATGGCAGCCAGAGCTCCTATTCCTGCCCATTCCTTTATGAAAGAGAAAACTTTATGGATCCAATTGGAGAGTATTGCGCACGAGCTGGATCACAGGAAACTCATCTGGGTCCGCCATAACTGGAATCGGTACGAACTGGGGTACCTGCATAACGACAGCTGAAAGCGTACTGTTATTCCAACATTGTGACACATAACAGGTTGTGGTGGAGCAATTTAGAAAAGTCAAACAACAGAAAGAGGTAGGGAGCTTGCAGGTGGAGGGTGTGAAGGAATCGTTGCTCCTCACCCCTGAAACATTGCTATGAAAAACACGGACTGGGGATAAGCCTGCCACAAGAATGCTTCATTCCCTTTTCTAAGACAAATATGGTTGTCCCTCCCAACAAACCCAAAGAAACCATACAATAATTTTCATCTGTCTCTAATTAGGCCACCATTCATCCAACCAGATGAGGTTTATTCACTATCCTAACCACAAAAGCTTCCAAGCATCCACCTCATCACAAGAGCTCTCACAGGTGACTCTAGCAACAGCTGCAGTGACTGAGGCAATGAATCTTCGTTTCCAACTCAGTTGCAAGGACAAACTGCAGGTTCCATGCTATTGTCGAGTCCCACAGCAGCTTTCTAAGATTAAAGCATTAATTCAGAAGAAATCAGATTTTCTGTGGAATTTAAATAATCTTTAGTCTTAAGCATGGAAGGACAAGCAGCTGGCTTCAGGCACTTTCTGCCTGGACAGGTGTTTCTCTGTAACAGGAGATTTTAAGATTCTGAGGGAAGGTGAAGTCAGAAATTGCCCCCAGTCGATCCCCAAGCTTGCTCTTAACATAACCCATGTGTTTCTTGTGAAGAAAACTTCAGAGTGGGATTATTACCTGAGCCATCATAGCTAGAGCTCGGGGTCCTGTTGGTGGGAACCAGGCCCTCCACGGTAACCATGAGGGTGGTAATATTCATGGAGTTATTTTCAGTCACTTTTCTCTCAGTAAGTCGCTTAAAGCGACTGACAGCGGCTGAGTAGCGATGTTACCCATGTTAAGGAGAATTTCAAGAGTTTCTTTTTATTTCTTTTTGTTTCCTTTTTCCTTTTTTTTTTTCCAGGGACAGCTTAGTCCCCGCACCCCTTTACGGCACCCCCAAAACCGGCCTCTTTACGGCCCCGGAACTCTCTTTACGAGTTCCTCAATCCTGCCTTTTTACGGCTCCCGGAACTGTCTTTACGAGCTCCTCAATCCCTTGCGACGCGTCCGCCCAAGGTTGCCCGATAGCCCCCGCCATCCAGCCCGGCAGCCCCTGCCGCCTGTTGCGTAGCCCCCGCTACCAACATTGAGCAGTTTAACCTGTCAGCCCCCGCCCACTGTGTAGCACCCGCTATCGGCGCTTGACGGTTTTACCTGTTATCGTCTCCGTTCTGTCAGAGAGAGGGTCTCAGCATTCCCCGTACGGGCCACCAGTTGACCGGTGCAGCCCCTCAATGAGACAGAGGACGCTCTTGTGGGTAACAGGTAATTGCCGCTTTATTGTTGCGGGTTCTGGCTTATATATCTGACTGTGGCCAATCAGGCTGCCTCGAGGGCTACCACGAGGAAGCAGGGCTGGAATGGGATGTGGGCTCTGGCTAATATACCCAGCTGTGGTCAATCAGGGGTTGCCACAGAGTCAGCATGG